TTAATTGCCATATTTGGTAAATGGTCTCTTGGAGACACCCTGATCTGTTTTAGTTAAGTTCAAAGGGACTTCTGATCCTGTGACTGATTTTCTCTGACTCTAGTGCAGCTAAGTTTTTAAGTTTTTTTTTTTCTTTTTTTTTTTTTTATTGAGAAGAGATTATTAATATTGCACTTGTAGGTAACAGCAGTAGATTGATCATTGGCTTGGGAACCTTTTATTTTTGTGCCCCCCAATTGCTTTTGTCAATAACTAGCTGTTTGTTGTTGGGCAAATTGTTTAACCCTTCTAGGTCTTGGTTTTCTCGTCTCTAAAATGGGATTAATTCCTGACCTTTCTGCTTTACTGAGTTATTGTGGGATTGAAAATGAGGTGATGAAAAGTAGAATGTGGTATGCAGGCAAAGGCATTCAAATTGCTGTTCTTGCAGTGACCCCACCGCCAGGCCATGGGGATGAGGTAAGGAGCATTGGGTTCTGTGAGACTGGGCTTCACACTTCTTGGACTTTCTTTCCCAGAAAACTTGAAGACAGAAAGGTGCTTTTCCAGATCTGACAAGCCTCCATTCAGAATGGAGTTGTTGAGTGGCAGCCTTGATTCTTCAACCTTGTTTCAGAGTGAATCCATATGTCCAAGTGTGCTGTTAACATGTTTCTCACTGTAACTTTGATAATGCTTTCCCCCCTCACCTGCTGTTGTCAGTCTGTAGTCTTGGTATTTGCCATTCCTTTCACCTTCCACATCTCTCTGCTTCTTGCTAGGTAGGTGACAGGATTCTTTTTTTTTTTGAGTTGGCATCTCACTCTGTTGCCTAGGCTAGAGTGCAGTGGCACACTTGCAGCTATCGCATCCTCGACCAGCTGGGTTCAGGCAATCCTTCTGCCTCAGCCTTCCAAGTAGCTGGAACTACAGGTGCGTGCCACCATGCCCGGCTGTGTTTTTTTTTTTTGAGTTGGAGTCTCTGTCACCCAGACTGGCATGCAGTGGCCTGCTCCCAACCACTGCAGCCTCGACCTGCTGAGCTCTGGCAATCCTTCCACCTCAGCCTTCCGAGTAGCTGGAACTACAGGCATGCGCTACCACACCTGGCTAATTTTTTATTTATTTTAGAGATGAGGTCTCGCCAAGTTGCCCGGGTGGGTCTTGAACCCACAGACTCAGGCAATCCACTTGCCTCGGCCTCCCAAAGTGTTGGGATTACAGGCACCAAACCCAGCCTTTTTAAAAAAATTTATTGTAGAGATGAGGTCTCGCCATGTTGCCTAGGCTGGTCTCAAACACCTGGGCTTCAGGCAGTCCTCTTTCATACACCTCCCAAAGTGTTGGGATTGTAGGCGTGAGCCACTGTGCCCAGTGGGATTCTTTATCTGTGAGACAGTTTCTGTGACTTTTAACTGTGATTGTATAAAAACCAGTTCAGAGTTTGTATTGTGTTCCTGGTACACAAAAGATTGTATTCCTTTCAGGGTCATCACCTTTCCTGCAAATATTTTAGCTATGTGTTAAGAGGAGCTATGTGTTATTTTTTTCCATGCTGGGTGGTGACTTTGGAGAGGGGTTGTCATCAGTGCAATGAACTTGATCTGGGACTTCCTTCCTTCCCCATGGTCTGGGCCTCTGGGTCCTCTGCTCCTCCTGGGTGGGGTCTTGGAGTGCAGTTTAACTCTAGGTCAGGGCATTTTAGGTTGTGAGGAAGCATTGGTCATACCTGCCAACACACAGATGCAAGTTTGTAAATGCCTGCTTTGGGTCTTTCACTGTATCTATTTTTGTTGTTGTTTGATTTTTTTTTTCTCCTTGAGTTGGGATCTTACTCTATCACCCAGACTGGAATGCAATGGCACAATCATGCCTCACCATAGTCTCAAACTCCTGCACTCAAGCAGTCCTCCCACTCAGCCTCCCGAGTAGCTAGAACTACAGGCACATACCACCATGCCCAGCTAATTTGTTTATTTTTTGTAGAGACAAGGTCTCGCCATGTTGCCTAGGGTGGCGACTTCCAGACTCAGGCCAGGCGCAGTCGCTCAAGCCTATAATCCCAGCACTTTGGGAGGCTGAGGTGAGAGGATTGCCTGAGCCCAGGGGTTCGAGACCAGCCTGCGCAACTTTGCAAGACCTCATCTCTGCAGTAAATTTTTAAAAATTAGCCGAGTGTGGTGGCACATGCCTATAGTTCCAGCTATTTGGAAGGCTGAAGTAGAAGGATCGCCTGAGCCCAGCAGGTCGAGGCTGTGGTGGCCGCAAGCATGCCACTGTGCTCCAGCCTGGGCAACAGAGTGAGACTCCAACTCAAAAAAAAAAACAAACAAAAAAACCCTCCTGGACTCAAGCATTCCTCCCGCTTCAGCTTCCCAAAGTACTAAGATTACAGACGTGAGCCACTGTACCTGGCCCACAGTATCTAGTGAACAACTGCTGCTTCCACATCAGATTCTGGTGACCTGAGCTCAGGCTTGGCAGCTGTTGTGGAGACTTGGGTTGGCAGAACCCTACCTTGGTGTGTCAGATGATTACTTAGTGCATGAGATGCCTTTTGCAGCCCTTTTTATTGTTTGTTTTTTTTGAGTTGGAGTCTCACTCGGTCGCCCAGACTGGAGTGCAGTGGCCG